CCTGTATGTAATGATCAACAGGATTTCTACGAGTCCGCCGACTCACATTTAGAAATGCGGGCCCACTTAAAATTTTTTTTTAAAGATGGATTTTAGATCTAAATTTTTAGAGACTCAATAGGATATGCGGGGCCCACCTAAACCTATCTTATTTTTAATCCAAAATTTTAGGGATATATGTGTTAAGATAATTATAAATATGAAAAATAAAATAAAATTTTTAATATTTAAAATATGATTCTTTGTATCGAAACTTTGTCCACCGTCTAAATTCATTTTAGCCCTATGAGTTTTTTGCATAGCCCGTTTAGAGATGGATGTTAGTTCGTCAGTGGGCTCTTGCACCGCTGACTCATGAAGGACTTTTCCATTATAAAAAGGGAAAGGTTTCTACATTTTTTTTATTATATATTTTTTCCATCCAGACATCCAATTTAGATCTAGTGAGCCACTAACCATTTGATAGTGTATCCAACACTTCATAGTATTTTATTTTAGTGTTTTAACTACAAATTATATAAATATGAAATTTGGTACATATCATCATTTCAATGGGGTGCACCTAAAAAAAGTATTGAACAAATTAGTTTGATAAACTACAATGACTAAAAACCGGCATTTTGGATATTTTATTTTATTGGGAATATTTATTTTAATATGTTTTCCAAAATTTGGTTTTAAAATGTTTTATCAAAATAAATAAACAAACAAAATGGTGTAGAGGTGTGATGTTATGATTGTGGTCATCTTAGTCGTCCATTCAAATGAACGGCTAGATAGGAGGAAGTATATAAGTTTTTGGGAAGCATTTATATACTTTCCCTACTTTATAGAAGATAAGTCACTGACCGTGTGAGCTAGAGCCGACACCTGAGAGTATTTTATTTTTAATTTTTGTTCTACAAATTATATGAATATAAAATTTGGTAACTGCCATATTCTCAATGGGGTGCACCTAAACAAAATAAAAAATAATATTTTCGATAAATACAATGACCATAGGGGAATTTTGGTTATTTTATTTTATTGACAATATTTTTTTATATAATTTTTACAGGTGCGATTTTAACAGAACAATGGATGCCCAAAATTTTGTGTCAAAATGTTTTGTATAAAAAATATTAAAAATAAAACAGTGTAGATGCATGACATTGTGATTGGAAACATCTCAGCCATCCATTGAGAATGGACGGTTGGATAAGGAGAAGTATGTAAGTTCTACACAGTAGGGGAAGTATAGAAAGTTTTCCTTAAGTTTTAACCAGTTTCGCAAAATTGAACCGGAATGGTTAACTGGACATGGGCCTGGAAGCTGTTTAACTAGCCTAACTTGTAAACCTGCCGATTTAGCCGCACTAACTGGACAAGTCCCGGGCGGTCAAAAAAGTGTTGAAAAAAAATTAAAAAAATACAAAAAAAATATACTAAAATGTGAAAAACCTATAAAGAATGATTAAAACAAAACACATGCAAATGAAGTTGAAAATTAATGAAAAAATAGGATTTTAACCCACTTTATATTTTCACTTTATATTTTAACCCACTTTAAAATGAAGTTGAAAAAAATAGGATTTTAACCCACTTTATATTTTAACCCACTTTAAAAAAAATTTAAAAGAATGAAAAAATATAAAAGTGAATATTAATGACCAAAACAATTTTTAATCTTTACCATAATGTAGAGAATCTTTACTGGGTGGTTAGCGGATAGATCGAGCAATTTTGCGAACAATGGTTTTAACAGTAGAGGAAGTATAGAAATCTTGCCCATAAAAATATAAGATTTATAATTTAAAAACATTTTTTAAAATTTATTTATTTTTGGTAATGTTCATTTGGATGCCCTCTTTTTACCATAGTAATGACTCACGAAAAACTTTTCCAATGATTAAATTGGTGTTTTAAAAAAAAAACCATTCAGGATCCGATCGCATTGGTTTCCAGAAGGCATTCAACCTCACTCGCTTCCCTCAAAATCCCCTATTTCATATTTTTTTGTTAAGCGTATATATTTTGTCTCATTAAATCCTTAACCCATGAACCCTTATTTTATTTTATTTTTATTTTTTAATATTCTTCTAGGTCGTCGTTCAGACCGATCTAGATCATCGTTTCAACAGTTTGACACAAATCTCTAGGGTGGACTATCCAACCTACAGAACCGGGCGTTGAAACACTAGAGTAAACCAATGTATCAAAATCAGGATCGATGGGATAGATTGTCCACCTACATATCCTTGTCTGATGTCAAATCAGTGATTTGGACTAATCCAAATTGATGTTCCAAAAAATAAAAAACTAAAATTAAAATTAAAATTAAGATAGGGATTTATGGGGGTGGTTAGGGGTATCTAAAAAGTAATAATAAATTTTTTTTAAAAAAAAAAAAAAAAAATAAAAATATAATATATATATATAT